AATTAAAAAATCTTAAAGGTTGATTATGTCTGCTTGATCTAATATTAATATGATCATCTTGAAAGAATTAACAAGCGCATTTACCCTCATCTTTAATATTTCAATGTGTGAATTGTACACTCATATAAACTATTAAATTATCAATGAAGGAGTCGAGCATTACTAAGCAGTTAATACTTGACGAGTATTACATAAAATATCAAAAATGAAGTAGAATTACTGAGGTCTTTACCGATAGCATATAACACCTTGGGATTATTAATAAAGGCTGTATAAAATTAAATGACTATAAGAAAGTAAAATCAGTTTATCTTAGGTATGCGAATATTAATATTTAACATCCCATATAAAATTAAATGCGACGCAGAGCAAAACAAATGAGCATATACTTCTGAAATACAAATAAGAAATACGTTAAGTATATAACTTGGAAAAATACCTATATTGTGTGCCAGATTTAAGCTAGTGCAAAATGCAATTTAAATTTAGCTATTATTTGTTATTTTGTAAAAAGTCAAGAAACAAAGTGAGTCTATAAAAGAGTAATAAATGTCTTCGTTATATCTGACAAGTCGAGTCTAAGATAAATAAGTAGGCGTAAATGGAATTATTTTAACAAATTAAGGGATCTTGTAGAAAGTTGCAGTTTGTATTAGACTTCGTAGAGACTAAATCTCAATGTGTGTTAATGACATCTGCTGTTGTAGGATGAGAAGAAAGAAAAAGGCCGAAGAAGAAAGAAAGAAAGAAGCGCTCGTCCAGTAAGTTACGGATATAGGATCTCTAAGCTGTCTAAAGATAAATCTGAGGCATTAACTGCACGTTTGCGATTCACTGTGATATTCCTTTTCCTTATAATACATTGCATTGATCGCCGCTATTAGAGCGATTCAAACATTTCTTTCCTTTTGTATTTTCCCCTCTCAGACGCGTAATAAAGAGGAAAAAAGAAAAAAATGTAACAAAATGCAAAAATAAAAGTGCCTGTCTCAGCCTGTTACTTCTACAGAGGGAACGTATAGTAATTAAAATCTTAAAAACCCTTTGGTCAGTTTGCGAGAATGTGGCATTTTAATTATTACATGTCCCCTCCGCAGAGAGGGTGTCCCTTAGGGGCCATACCAAAAAAAATCTAAGCAGTTAGTACAACGCAGGGAATGAAAATCTTAGATTTGGCTAGGATGCGGCAGTACTAGTGGAGGGAAGCCTTAAATTTACCTCTTTGTACGAAATAAAGGAAGTGTAATGGCGAAAATTTCGGGTATCATATTCCAACGGAAATATGCGTTTTGACCATTCCCGAATCTATTTGGACGATTGTTTTGCTTGATGTCTGCACTTGTGGACAGAATAAAGGACTCCTTTTTTTCCCCCAAAAACGGTTAGTAAAATGGATTAAAAGTAGATTTTTTTGTGACGTCTGTACGTACGTATGCATGCATGTGTCTCCCATAACTCAAAAATGATTAGATACAAAATACTGCTATAACATCTATTTGTGCACCTTTCTTTTTTTATTGCAAGCTGCAGTACCAAACGTGTATATATAAACACATCCTTTACCCCACTTAGAAATCCGTACCCGGCCTTTACTTTCGCAATCATTGGCCATAGTCCTATACTTCTATTTAGAGAACTATTTTAAATGACGAAAATATTCATGTTTGGGCAATGTCAAATTTAGAATTGGGAAAGTTTTATACTCGTTATGAAAAAAATAAATCATAAGAAGTTTGACTCCCGTGCGACAAATATTGACCGGGATATCTAATTTCAAAATTTGCAATTTTGGTGCCGTTATCAACCTGTCTTGAGGGATCGGATAATTGAGTTAGAAAAATTCGAGGAAGTAAGTTCAAATGAATTGCAGTGAAAAAATGTGTATAATTTAATAGGTTATACGAGAAAATCATGTGGCGTCCTCATCAGACTTTTATTAATCGTTACGTAGCACAATCATTAAGCGTTATCGTTATTACATTTGATATTTGGAATTAGTTCAATAATTAATAAGGAATTTCGACTTAGTTTAGTGTTATTAATGTTGTTACTACATTGGCATGTCGTATAACTACTTTTTTTTTTTTTTTTTTTTTTAACTTTTTTGCGTCGTTTTGAATGTACTTACTAGTATCCTCAATTTAAGTGCATGATTTTACTGATCTTAATTCTAAGCAGTAAACTTGTTGTAAAGTTTATTTCATTATGGTGAAATATACGACGGCTATTTGCCTAAAGGGAAGGATGCTTTTGTGCAGGAACCTTCTAAAAGAAACTGGCTCGGGCCCACGTGGCACATGGATAAAATGCCCAGCCAGCCCGTTCGCCAGGGTATTGAATAGGATCAAACTACCCTTGTTCAACAGTGGTTGGCCCTCGATAGTAAGATAACTATTACACTGCTATCAAGATTCAGTATTAACAGGATTATAATGGATTATAATTAATAGGATTATAATGTATGGTAATGTAGTATCAACAGGATTGTAATGTAATTGGCACTTTTCCTAACTCTAAATTAGTTTATGGAAGATTTAAGTGCGATCTTTACTTCACAGTAAATTTGAGACAATATTTTAAGAGTTAGCATTACCCTTCAATAAATTATGCAGGTAGTTCCGGGTTTCCATTCCATTCAACATGAAAGAAAAATCGTGAATACTAACAAAGAGTCTGACATTCTGATTACTCATTAAATTGGCAGGCTTAGGTAAATTTTTTCAAGTTTTAGGCTACCTTTTAAAGACGAATTTGCTCGTATGTCTGAAACGAAGATACGCGCATTTGCTAAGGCAGTATTGCTTTTGTAGAGCTTTGCGAAAGTAAATTTACTGCGTATATAAAGACAATTAAATGTTATAACTGACAGAATAAAGTTTTCTAATACGCGAATTAATTTTCAAACTATTAACTATGTGTAACAAAAAAGAAGGGCTAAATACTAATGCAAATAATAATTAACAAAATTTGGCGTAGTAAACATTAATTTACCAGAGTATAGCTTCGAAGGCTAAACAGATAATCATTCCTCAACTGTGAAAGTAAGAACGATGATCCCAAGTAAGCATACATTTCTTTTCCGTCAGTTTCACTTTCGCAGCGTAAAAAGAAAGTTCTATATTACTTTTGGAACAATAGTCCTACAAAGCGGGTCATTTTACGCTGATTCCTTTTATTTATTATTAGATGCCTCGGCATACTACATTTTGAAAAATCTTTGGTGGGGCAGGGAGGGGTTTTTCTACTAACTCTAAGCAGTTAATTTAGTTTATAAAATGGGTTTTTTGAATGTTGAAATAGCTTCTTAGTAATTTTGTACAATTTTTGGTTTTCGAAATAAGTCTATATTTATATCTTTTAAAAATTTTTAATTAAGTTCTACACCTTCCCTATTAAACATGACAGATTTTCGCAATAAAATTCATTTGGAAAACATTACTCTGCTATACACGTAATTTAATTTAATAAGCATATATACCTTTTTGAACAGATCTTTTCACTCAGCTTCACTTTAATTTACGGTGCGCAAAATTAATAGCTATTCTATAACACAGAAAGATCGTCCCGAACACAGTATTTTGGATGTGCCAGTTATACACGCAAACCTAGTCAGCGAGCGTGTATATTCCAAGAAGGCGATATCTTTTTTACACATGGCTTCTTTTCAGACCGTTTGCATTTCCTGTTGGGTGTGGAATCCATAGAAATGTTTGATCGGAAATCGCTTCTCTTGTGAGGCACCTAAAATTGTCTTCTGGAACTTGGCTGCATTTATTTTAGCAGGGCACTTCGGGTTAGAAGTAACTATATAAGATTCTCTCACATTCCAGAAGTTAGTTCTGGAGCCAATTCTCTTGCTTATCTGTAGTTTTCAAACGAAGCTGAATTTTTATGTTCATTTAGGTCTCGTTAAATGCTAGTTTTATTAACAGTATTATTAAGAGATGTCGTTTGAATTTGCCGTTAATGAGAGTTATTATATGAATAATCATGATAAGCGTAAAGTTTCTTATTACTATCACTCTCAACGTTTTATTTGATACAAGTAGAAATGCATCTTTGTGCATTAAAATGGGTCGTTTGGGTTATTTAAAAGTACTAAAATCAAATTTAAGCAAAGGGATGAGGGAATTCAGTCAGAGTCTTTCAGTATGGCAGTGATTCCAGATATAACAGCTCACAGTTTCTGAAAGAGTGATTCGTTTTCAACGCCTTTAAACTACTGGTTCTCGTCCATGTTTTCTCCCCTCTTCTTCATGTTAGAATTTCATCCCGAGTTTTATTGTTATTAATTCCTTCAAATCAGCGGTCTGAAACGCAAATTCTTAGAAAATCCTACAGGAAAGTGTCCTTCTCCTTAAGCAGATAGCTCTCGAGTGCTTAACCAGAATTAAATAAACCAAACCTAAAATTTAAACTGCATACGAAACGAATACATGACCTGGAAACAAATGATATTATAAGAATTTTTTTAATAAAAAAATGAAATATATTTATAAACAAAAAAAATTAGCTAAATTTTAAACTTCGCGGTTTAAATGTTTATTAAAACACACATAAACAATGTTAATAATAATCATAACGCAGATGGAAAAACTTTAAATTTATGTTTATTTTCTATCCGAAATCTAATGTTTGGTATCTGCAAGAAATTTTTATTGGCTATACTTTGCAATTCAAGCATATTGATAGCTCATTTAAACATTTATTTCGAAAAATTCTAATGTGTTTAATTAATCATTAAATGATTTATTTTAAACTAAAGATGAATAAATTGTATAAACTTTCCAAGAGGGACAAAATTGAGAATAAATAATGGAACATAGTCTCTTTTTCTTACTTATTAAATTTTTCGCCACATCAATTAAAAGACGCAAGTTTTTTAAACAATTAGAAATTTTTATTAACTTGTTTGCGTAATGTTCATGCACTGGAAAACAAATTACTGCAAAATATCTTCATCACGGGCTGTGTGACGTTCATCTGTCAAACGGGTTCTTTTCTTATTAATTTTCAACAGTGAAAAATAGTTGCACATTCACAAATGTATTCCGAAACAAAGCTATTATTCTTAATGCAAAGATTTGTAACTGAGCGCATTTATTTTTTGACAAGTACAAATAAAAGTTAATTAAATATATCTTCAAATTTTTTAATAAGATTTATATCGCATTGTCAATTAATTAGCTTAATTTGTAGATTTTTGGGTTGTTTAATCGGGTTTGTTTTTAATAATAATGAAAATAATGTAAACTTGGATTTAAAATAGCTGAACTCTTAAAACCTTTGCAGCAAATACATAATTGAAATGTGTTCCCGGGCTTCTGAGGGGGAGCATGGAGAGCTTTCTTGAGGGGAAATTAAAATTGCTTCTGAGGGGGAGCATGCGAACATTGCGTCGCGAGTTTCAGACCACTGCCCTTAAGACCAGTTTAATACCAACTGATGCACTACGTAAATCTGAAAATTTTTATTTCGGTATGCTACAAAGGTACATAAAAATCTTAGATTTAATGTAATTATTATATGCCATGAAAATCACCATCATTTATTGAACAACTTCACTTACTTGATGCATGTTTTGCTTCGTTCAGCTCATTTAGGTAATGAGAGTTTATCTATATCTTTACTTTTAAATTAGGCAAGAAGTAACCATAGTTTGGTACAGATTAAACAAAACTCTCATTTCTCAAACTTCTCATTTAAATAAGTAACAGTTATCAGATTTTTCTCAGACTTCACTTTCCATGCACAGTAAACG